CTGAACCCTGTCCTTTTGGGTTTTCATGGAGGCTTTATTACATAGGCATGATGGATTAAATCATTGCCCATTGGTGATGGATTCAACCTTTCTCCCCTTTCCCCTCCCTGGAGGTTAAGGGGGTGGGACTGAAAGTTCCAACCTTCTAATTACATGGTTGGTTCCTCTGGTGGCCAGTCCCCAACCTTAGGTGAGTTCCACAAGTCATTACCCTATTAACATAACAAAAGACACTTTTGTCACTCTCATCACTTAGAAAATTCCAAGTGTTTTAGGAACTCTGTGCCATTAACAAGGATGAAGACCAAATATGTATTTCACATTATAAATGCAATATCAGCACCTCCCTTTAAATTTTGCTGCAGGAAAGATGATGATTTTTGACTTTTTTTTTTCATTCATTCAACAAACATTTCTTGAGCACTTGCTCCGTGCCGGGCAGCATGGAATGCTCTAGAGCAGAGATTCTCAGATGATTTGTGGGGAAAGATCAATTTGTTGCTTCCAATTTGCAGCCCACTGTGGACTGGCAGGGGGTCCTGCTCCGTGGGACCACTTCACAGCACGCACCCTGTGAGACTCACTGGGCCCAAACTGAGCCTGTAGTCCACCCATGTGCTGGGAAGTTGTGGTGAATTGCTATAACGATTTCCAGATGCTTGTTCTTCATGGCTGCACTTGTCTCAGAGTGGTAACAACAGTTTGTGGACAGCCCCGGTCTCCAGCCTGGATCTGGAGAAGCAATGCACTAAGGACACCGCTCATTCCTCTGATCACAAAGATTGGTGTGGCGGCTACTGTTCTAGATGCAGGTGACACAGCAGTGGAGAAAGCCAAGGCCCTGTTCTCATGGACCTTATATTCAGGCCAAGGGAAAGAGTTAAAAGAAAAAAAGAATTATATGGTGTACTATGTGGTGATCACTGCTAAAAAGGAAAACAAAGCAGGGTAAGGAGATGGACAGGGGCGAGGGGGCGAGGGGCGTCAGGTGCGTCTCAGTAATAAGGTGGCATTCAAATGGATCCAAAAGAAAGAAGACAGTGAGCCAAGCGGTTATCTGGGAAGAACATTCCAGGCAGAGGGAAGAGCAGGGGCAAAAGCCCTGAGCTCATTTCAGCTGCACATGGGGAGAGCACACACTTGTAGGGGCAGGGAATCAGAATCATCGGTGGGGGTGGGGGTCCTACCACAAAACCTCCCCCACCCACCACCACCAGAGACTCTGAGCAGCCTTCTGTACGGGGAGACCCTTGCCCCCCCTACCCAAATACCACTCCTGAGGGGGAAAGGTACATCTCTCCCGTCCACGTGGCAGAAAAACCATGGAGAATCCACGGTTGAGAATACACATGGTCTCAAGAAGGCCGCAGTTTGGTGAAAGGCGGTGAAGAACAGCATAGTATTACAGGGGAAGGTGAGGACACCCAGAACTCACTCTCCTTGTGCGGGATTAGAAAGACCTTCTTAGATGACAGGTCTTGCTTGGGTGACGGGCCGCAGGTAGGTTCTGGGCAGAGGGGCCGCGGTGAGCGAAGGCAAAGAAACTGGGGAGAGCTAGGGCACCTGAACGTGCTTGCACGTGACTGGTGGGGAGGCAGCAGGCCACGGGGAAGCCAGGGGGGTTGGCAGGGTTCGGGTCAGAGAGGGCCTTGCATGCCACAGGAAGGCATTGGATTTTTTCTGGTAAGCAGTATGGAGCCATTGGAGAATGCAGGCCAGCGGATGGTCAGATCTCTATAGAGAGGGGACCAGGGTGGCAGTGAGGGCAGGGCAGCAGGGTGGGTAAGCGTGAGAGCGAGCAAGGCCAGGGCAGTGCAGAAGCAGGGCAGGAGGTGGATTCAGGAACCGTCGGAATAAAAAGGTCTGGACTTGGTGGGCGGTGGGACCCAGTGGAGAGTGATGGGAAGCGCCCGGAAGGACCCTGGGTTCCACTTCGGTGCCATTGACTGAGACAGGGACAAAGGAGGGAGAGCAAGTTCAGGGGCGAGAGGAGTTCAGTTTTAAGCATGTTGAATTCAAGGTAGGACAGAGCCAAGACCTGGTGAGCCACCCGCAGATGTGACCTCAGAAAACAGGTCTGCGGAAACCGAGAGAACAGGGCGCAAGCAGGGAACAGACTTCCACGAGGGGCCCAGGTCTCTCATCAGAATAGCTGTGATGTACTGAGCTTTTGGAACCTGCCAGGCAACTGTAGGCACTTCCTTGCTGGATGCCATTTATTCCTTAAAAGGACTCTTGCGGGGAGTGGGCTTATCTCAGTTGTACAGTGAGGAAGGCGAGATTCAGAGGTTAGGAGCTTGTCCAAAGGCGCGGAGCTGATGAGAAACCGCGAGTGGCATACCTGCGGCCTCCCACCTGCTGATGGCGGCCTCGAGGGGGCGCCAGAGAGAGCTGGGGTGGTTTAGGGAAGGTCGATAACTTTGATCTTAGGGAAAGAGAGCCGGGGCTTGCCTGCTGTCTCCAGTCCAGCATTTAATAAATATCTGTGGCATGAATGTGCCTCATCCCTCTGTGGAAGACTGAGCCCCGGCTGGCGGGGCCACGGGGCAACCCAGGGAGACATGGACAATGCTGTCCCAAAACTCAAGAAGGGGCATATCCTGGGTGAGGGCCCATGTTACGTGCACACCCGGGGGAGTTCCAGGCGCTCCGGGATCGGGCCGGGGGAGTGCTTAGGGAGAGCTGGGCCTCGGAGCTAAGGCTGTGGGAGCCCAGACCCCAGGTGTGGCCCGCGGTCGACAAGCGTCCTCAGGGCCTGGTGGCCGCCGGACAACCACTAGCAGGTGCGGGCGGCTCTCCTGTGGACGTGGCTGGCCGCCCAACCTGTGAGCACCATGACTATTTTGGGCTCTGTTTTCCCTCCCCTCAACCCCACTTCAACTGTCTTGCCCCTGGGGTTGCAGCCACTTAAATATGTAAATGCTGACTTGACTTCAGCCCCTTCCCAGGAGTTTTCCTCACTAGTGTGCCTGATTCCCAGGAAGCCTGCCCTGCCCAGGAATGGAAGGACCCAGACCATTCCAAGAAGACCCTCCATGGTTGCCCCCCACTCCACCTCAGCAGGGAGCTGCCCAGACTGCCCTTTGCAGCTCTTCCTGGAGTGAGGTGCCCCATGATTCCCACCTCATGTTCAGTTGAGCGCAATTCCTATAAACAGGCCCGTTAGGGGCGCCTGGGTGGCTCAGTCGTTGTGTCCAGTTCTTGGTTTCTGCTCAGGCCATGATCCTGGGGTCTTGGGATGGAGCCCCGTGGCAGGCTCCTCGCTCAGCAGGGGGTCTGCTTGAGGATTCTCTCCCTCTGCCCCTCCTCCTGCTCATGCTCTCTTTCTCTTTCTCTCTCTCAAATAAATAAATAAATCTTAAAGCAAACAAACAAAGAGAAACAGGCCCGTTAGTAGAATGGCATTCCAGAAAAAGAATGGAAGAGAAAGGAAGCTTTGGTATTACAAACTGGTGGGAGGAATTAGGGGTGAGGTTAAGGAAAGTAGGCTCAGTCCATTGTGCCTCAGTTTTCTATAGAGAAGGGGAAATTATGCTCTCAGGAAATTTCTCTGAATGACAGGTTGGGAGGTTTCTAGGACCATATCCGTATCAATGGGCCATTTGGCGACCTCTTCCCTTGCTTCCCACACTTACCACTTGGAAGTAAAAATAAATTCTCTTCCAAATCATTAATAAGGTGGTCTGTCTCCTGATCTGGCTCCATCCAGAATGAAGGAACTATGAATTCATAGTATGAGATAGGCCTCCCTAGTGTCCTGATAGAGAGGCTCTGGTTGGGGGGAGTGCCTTCCTGGGTGTGGGTGTTGGTGACTAATGGTAAGAGCGGGCTTGGGGTGAGGCACAGCCCCCCTTGTTGGTCAGCTCCGGAGGGCCAGCCAGCTTCCCTCTACATGCCTCCCGGGGTCCTGCAGTGCCGCGGGTCCCACCAGCAGCAGGCTGGACAGACACCCCCCCTCGGGAGACTGTGCTTGTTTGGGAAGACCTGGAGGGATGGGACGCAGGGCTCTTGGAAGCCCCCAAGCCAGGGTTCGGACGGCTGCAAGGAGAGCAGTTTCAGCCTGGAGTCTTGGCAGACGGGACTCTCTCTGCCTTCTCGTTTACAAATAGCTCTCCTGGGCCCCGAGGAGGGGGAAGGGGTAACTGAGAGGATCAGAAGATCGGGCTCCAGGGGCAGAACCTGGAGGGGTAGCGAGGCCTTCCGCAGGGCGGGGCTGAGCTGAAGCCCCGCCTCTTACCTGCGGGACCTCCTCCGCCCCCACAAGCCCCGATTCCCCTCACCCTGAGTGATAGCGTGTGGCTGTCTGCAGACAGCTGGTGTGGGGCCGTAGGACACGCAGGGGAGGTTACAGAAAACTCCGTTAAAGGTCAGACCCTGGTAAGATCAGCCCGGAGAGGGCCATCCGGGGTTCTGAGAAACGATCCCCTCTCCGCCGCCGTGCCCACCGTCAGTCCCCAGAGAAGAAGGATGCCCAAACCGGAAACCACCTGGGGACCTTCCCTTTGAGGGCTGCCCAGACCATTCATTTATTCATCCGATTCTAGGCCCAGGAAGAAGCATAATGAAAGAAATGAACAAAAATCCCCACACTTTATGGAGTTTGTTTTCAAGGGGGTGAGATAGGAAATGAACGAGATAAAAATATATATATATGGTATTTTTAGCTAGGAATAAGTGCTAAGAAGACAAACTAAAACAGACAAGAGGAACAGAAAATGTCAGAGGTCCCTCAAATTGTACTTGTGGGGCCAGGGAAGGCCTGGGTGAGGGATGAATCTTGAGTAGAGACCTGTAGGAAGGGAGGGAGCTGGCAACGTGGGGATGTGTGGTGGAGATGTGGGGGATGGGGGTAGAGGAATTCCAGGCAGAGGCAACAGCCAGTGCAAATGTCCTGAGGCAGGTGCATCGGAGGAACTGCGTGCCTGGAGGGGAAGTCAGGGTGGCTCAAAGGTGCACTCAGGATGCACAGAAGAGTGGTGTGACTGTGTTTGCTTCCACAGGAGAAACTGGAGTATTTCTTCCTCATTGTGTTCTCGATTGAAGCCGCCATGAAGATCATTGCCTACGGCTTCCTCTTCCACCAGGATGCCTACCTGCGCAGTGGCTGGAATGTGCTAGACTTCATCATTGTCTTCCTGGGGTGAGGCCCCCGTGTGGGGGGTCGGGTTTGAGGTCAGAGGGGGCTCTCTGAGGCTACTGTGCCCACCACTCCCTCCAGCATCCCAGAGGCAGGATGGAACCCCAAGCATTGTGCCAGGGGGCAGCCTCTGGAAGGGCCAGCCCCTGCAGAGATGCGGCCAGGGTTGGGGGAGAGCGCAGCATTGCCAGCTCACACAGCCCTTCCCCAGCTAGGCACTCCGTGTTCCTTTATTCTTCTCCCATCACACACAATTGGAAATGATATACGTGGTTTCAGTGGCCAGCAGTTTCTGGACGTTTATAAATTTCTCAACCTTTATCATCTATTATTTCTTCCATGGACCTATACTAAGTACCTGTTATTTGGGTTCACAAAGATAGACATTTAGGAACCTGTATGTGTTGGCTAGGGCTGCCATAACAAAGTCCCACAGACAGGGGGGCTCCAACAATAGCAATTTGTTTGCTCAGCGTTCTGAAGGCTGGAGGTCCGAGATCAAGGTGTTACCAGGTTTGGTTTCTCCTGTGGCCTGGGACTGTGGGTGGCTCCCTCCTCCCTGTGAGCACGTGGTCTTTCCTCTGTGCCCATGCTCCCCCGGAGGCCTCTTTGCGTGTCCAAATCTCCTCTTCTTCCGATGACACCAGTCAGACTGGATTGGGGTCGACCCTCACGGCCTCATTTAACTTAACTCTTTCAAAAGGCCCTGTCTCCAAATACAGCCACATTCTGAGGTACTGAGGGTTAGGGCTTCAACATATGAATTTGAGGGGGACACAATTCAGTCCATAACATAATAACCCCCATTGTAACAGGAGCATTTATTAAGCACTGACTATGTGTTTTACATGTAACATCTCATTTAGGTTCTTCAACACTCTCAGTTTTCCCATTTAAGGAGGCTGAGGCTCAGAGAGGTCAAGCAACTGGCCCACGGTCACAGAGCTAGCCAGCGGCAGTGCCAGGATTCAAACAAAGGCGATCTTAGCTCCAGAGGCTGCTATTTAACCACGACGCTGCCCTTCGATTCAATAAACGTGATGTTGATTATTTACTCATTATGCTGTGCTGCTTTAGGCACCCTGGGGAAAACAGAATTCTGCGAATCAGCCTCCACTCTTAATGAGCTGCCTTGCTGGGAGGCCAGGACCAATGTATACAGAATAACGGAGTATCGGAAAACAGTACCACCCAGTGCGTCATTGCCACGGCAGGGTGTCCCAGGGGTTCGGTTGTCAAAGGGAGGATTCATAAAGAAGGGTTGGAGATGGACTTCAAAGGATAATGGGACTTTGAGTAAATTGAGAGGAGGAGCAGATGAGCAGGGAAGAAAATAAAAGGGCATTGTCGGGAAGTGCAGCATGAGGAACACTCATGGGGAGACCTAGCTCCGGGCTTTCTCCTCTGGGTCCCCACGGAGGGCACCGCCCACCGTGGGGTATGCTCAGCTTGCAGGCTGGGGACCATGAATGCCTGTGGCACATGGACCTCAACTCCCTTGAGTTCCCAGAGTAGACATCCCAGATGGATCCTGTACTCTTTTCCCTGAGTCTGAACTTGCCTCGGAATCTTTTCTAATAAAATTTTCCAGACAGACATCACCAAATCTGAGTTAGCTGTTGATGAGAGCTGTCACCTCTCCACTAGGCCTTTCCACAGGTCCCCTGAGCACAGATGGGACACGGGGTCCCAGAGCCACAGAACAGGGGCTTATCTGACCATGGGGCCCTCTTCTCTCCCTCTTCTCCACTCTAGGGTTTTCACCGTGATTCTGGAACAGGTTAACGTCATCCAAAGCAACACAGCCCCAATGAGCAGCAAAGGGGCTGGTCTGGACGTCAAGGCCCTGAGAGCCTTCCGCGTGCTCAGACCCCTCCGGCTGGTGTCCGGGGTCCCGAGTGGGTGCTAGTGCCCCTGCAGACGCCCTTCCTCCTCTCCCAACCCTTTCCCTTGCCGGGCTCTGGGTCCCCCTCCCACCTTGCTGTCCCAAGGCTTCCCAGGATATAGAGAGAGGGAGGGCCAGGAGTCCAAGAGGGAAGAAGACTTCCCTTTCCTCCTCCCTGCTTGCCCTCTGCAGGCCTGCAGGTGGTCCTCAACTCCATCTTCAAGGCCATGCTGCCCCTGTTCCACATCGCCCTGCTTGTCCTCTTTATGGTCATCATCTACGCCATCATCGGGCTGGAGCTCTTCAAGGGCAAGATGCACAAGACCTGCTACTTCATTGGGACAGGTGAGCTCCCAAGGGACTGGGGAGGTGGGAGTGGCCCTAGGGCAACTCAAAGGGACAGCCGCCTCAGCCATGAAGAACCTCCAGAACTAGGTCATTTCCTCCCACACCTGTTACCCTGAGGAACGGGTCTCTCTTGGTCATGGGAAACTGGAGGAAGGACAGGTCTGCCAGGGTCAGTGATCAGGGGAAGAGGGCTGAGGGCTGGGCCACAGCCTGCTTTGAAGCACTCCCACCCTAGATCAGTGTGGTATCTTTGGGCTTTCTGGGCCAGCTGTGGATTGAGATGCAGGCTTAGGACAAGCCTGAATTTCTATTTGTGCTTTTCTTTGCAGCCATCCTTTTAGCTTTAATCTAAGAGGCCCCTCAGAGCAGGGGCCCACAGAGCGGGGTCTAAAGGGGATCTCAAGAAAGCACCCAAGAGCCAAAGTGTCATTTGTAGGGTTATCAGAGATAACATATCTTGAGGCCCAAATGAACTTGAGCCAAGCCTTCCAAACCAGCCGTTCTCAAACTGTTTGCCCCATGACTCTTCACGCTCTTAAAAATTCTTAAGGACCCCAAAGAGCTTTTGTTGATATGGATTTTACTCATTGATATTCATAAATAGGAAAACTGAGGAGAATGTCATAATATTAATTTATTAATTCATTTTAAAAGAACAGTGATTAGCCCATTACTTATGAACATAAATATCTTATTAAAAATAACTATATTTTCCCAAACCAAGAACATTTAGTGAGAAGAATGGTACTGTCTTACATTTTATCTAAATCTCTTTAATGACTTAGCTTAATAGAATCTGCTGGATTCTCACAGCTACTTCTGTGTTCAGTCTGTTGTGAAATCACATGTCATGAAGGCTCTAGAAAACTCCACTCTGCATTCATTGAAAGATTGGGAGATGAAATAATGTCTTGGCATTCTTATAAAAATAATTCTGACCAGGGGCGCCTGGGTGGCTCAGTCGGTGAAGCAGCTGCCTTCGTCTCAGGTCATGATCCCAGGGTCCTGGGATGGAGCCCCACATCGGGCTGTCTGCTCAGCAGCGAGTCTGCCTCTCCCTCTCCCTCTGCCGGCCACTCCCCCTGCTTGTGTTCTCTCTCTCTCTCTCTGTTAAATAAGTACATAAAATCTTTTTAAAAAAATTAAAAAAAATAATTTGGACCAGGTGGGTGCCCTGAAAGGTTTTGGGTCCCCCACTCCAAGATTCAGTGCTGCCAGCCTGCTGTGTCAGTCTGTCTCGGTCGGAGCCCAGCTTCTACCAGGGTCTACGGGAATTGGACACGGCACAAGAAAGAAGTGACTTCTATTAGGACAATCCCTCGCACCAAAAGCCCAGAATCTAACTCACCAGAATAACCCAGGATGGGCAAGGCCGCCAAGATCTGCAGTATCTCAGGAGACTCCTCACTTCCCCAGGCCCACTGACAAGGGGACAGGCAACACAAGGTCCAAATCCAAGTCAAGACAGTGAACTCTGATAGAGCTTTTGCTGGTTCCATTCCTAGTCCCCTCCCAGCTCAGCCTCTTCATGTTCCTGCAATAATCTATGTCCTATAATTAGCATTATCCAGACAGAGAGGAGGAGGCTTTCTATCACAGCCTTCAAACCAAATCTGGAGGTCTCCTCTGGTGTTCTCATGCATTCTTGACCAGTGCCGGCCAGCAGTGCTCAAGAACCTTTCTGGGATGGGAGTTACCTGACTTCAAGGGTCAGGGACCCACTCAGAGCTCAGAACTCATCGATGTTCTCCTCTCCCATCGCCAGAAGACTGAACCTATATGGTAAATATGGGTAAGGTAGGGCATTCCAGCTCTGATGAGCTAATCGAATCTCTGAACACAATAGGAGACTAAAACATCCTGAGATAAAAGGGGATCCAGGATGTCATCCAAAGAGCATCATCCAGGGACACGGAGGGGACTGCAGCCTGTTGGGAACCCCTGCTAAGAGCAGACCCCCGCCCCTAAAGCTTCACGTCTCGTGCAGCTCATCTCTGTCCCGCTGGGACATCTCAATGTCAGCTCCCAGAAAGAACTCAAGTCAGAACACAGGTGGCCCCACCCCACACCTCCGCCCCAGCCACACAGGTGCCTCCTTTTTAAAAGCTCTGTGGGTAGACATGACATTCAGGTTACACCTGCTATATAGAGGGCACGAAGCCGACCCTCCGATGAGGCCCTGGGGCCCGAGATATGATCACTGCTGCCTGTAGATGCCCAAGCAGTCCTCTTCTTTAGCACCATATGCTCCCGGGGAGCACTCCTTTGTGTTTCCAGCTGAGTGTGTTCTAGACCTAGTCCTCAGTGATTGCAGACTACTCTTCTCCCATTCTTGCCCACCTGCGCCTCTTATCTGACGCTCATGCTGCCTTCTGCCTCCAGATATCGTGGCCACAGTGGAGAACGAGAAGCCCTCACCCTGCGCCAGGACGGGCTCGGGGCGCCCATGCACGATCAATGGCAGCGAGTGTCGGGGCGGCTGGCCGGGGCCCAACCACGGCATCACCCACTTCGACAATTTCGGCTTCTCCATGCTCACCGTGTACCAGTGCATCACCATGGAGGGCTGGACCGACGTCCTCTACTGGGTGGGTCTGGCCCCACGGCTGCAGAGCCCCCTCCTTTCATCCACAGGCTCACCTGGCAGGGGAGGAGGTGGGGCCTGATTGTCACTGACTCTAGGGTCCATTGCTCCTTCTCACCCCTCCTTGGGAACCCTACACAGGGCGCATGGCCCCCTTCTTGTCCCCAGTGTGTGTCCCAGCATCCTCTGGGCAGTCCCCATGGTACAACCTGTCTGTGCAGGACCTAAGAGGTGGGTGAGGAATAAAAACAAGGAATCCGTGGGTTCTGGTCTCAACTTCTAACTTTTTCTGAAGCCTGCCAGAGAGTGACTCGTTCCTGATGACCTAGAATCTCAGATTTCCTGAATGACCTAGAATCTCAGATTTCCTGAGGGATGAAGGGCCCTCTGAGTCTCTTTTTGCCCCAGGGCAAGACTGCTTTCCGATATAAATATTATTAGATATCAGTTTCCTTGTCTATAAAATAAAAATACTACCTACATCATAGGGTAGTTACGGTGGTTACTAGGCCGATTAATTGAATTACAACAGTGCCAGCAACATGCAGTGCTATATTAGTTTTCTTGTTGGAGTGTATTATTTATTTGGTCTTATCCGGAGATAGGTTGCATTTCTTATTTAATCCTCCAACCATGGAAGCCATTGTTCCCACTTTACAGATGAGTAAACTGAGGCTCAGAGAGGTTCAGTAACTTGCCCGCAGTTATGGAGCCAGTGAGCAATAGATCCAAGAATTGAACCCTCATCCATGTGGCTCCGATCCCAGAAATCTTAACCACAACGTGACACTGCCTTTTGAGGGAAGGTTATCCAACTGTCAGATGCTTGCAAACAGAAAGGATTGGTGCGAATAGTTCTTGAAAGCTCATATTATGGGAGCAAATTATCAAACATTTCAACGGCCTGTCACATGTGTTATTTCGCTTCTACTACAAGTCTGTGGGGGCAAGCGCATATCACCATCCCCACGGACAGATGGGATGATATTCAGAGATGTTAGGTGACTTGTCTAGGGTCACAGAGCTTGTTCGTGAAGAAGTTGGCCAAGCTTAGGCCAAGACTTTTTAGTGTTTCTTCTGCTTTGAAAAATCTTAGCTGTAAAGAAACCACTTGGAGAGAGAGTGTATGAGAGACTCCAGCCAGGGATGTGGGTGGCTGGAGGGAGAAATGGGTCAGTCATGTCTGGGCCAAGTGGACAGTCAGCAAGGCTCCTTTTTGAGAAGTCCTTCTAACTCCAGGTCCTAGGTCTTTGGAGAGGGAGGAAAGTCCCCTCACTGGGCCCAGATGGCCTCTCTCCTTCTCCCCCAGGGTCAGGTGGAGCATGAGCGCCCTGAGTCTGGAAGGGGACCTAAGCCCTCGGGTCAGTGGATGGGACTCACACCTCTCTCTGGACCAGGTCAATGATGCCATCGGGAACGAGTGGCCCTGGATCTATTTTGTCACCCTCATTCTGCTGGGATCCTTCTTCATTCTCAACCTGGTGCTGGGTGTCCTGAGCGGGTAAGGAAGCTCACAGGGAGCTGGGAGGAGAGGGAAGAAGAGGAGAGGAGAAGAGGAATAGAGGGTGGGAGGGAGAAGGGGCAGCTGGGATGGGGGGGGTGGAGAGGAGGGGAGAGAAGAAGGAAAAGAGCCAGAGGGAGAAGGAGAGTAGTGGGTAGAGAAGGAAGAGGAGCGAGAAGAGGAGGAGGAAGGCAGGGAGATGTGGATTAGAACCTCTGCTTATCCCTTCTGCCAAGAGCACGCTCCTGGGTTAGCAAGGGAGATATAGAAGATAAAGGTAAGAGCTCCTTCATTTTTAATTTTTCTTTCTTCTCCTCAAGCCTTCTCCCATCCTTTCCTCCTCTGTCCCTCTGCACCCACACTCCCTCTGAGTGAAGCCCCTAAGATCCCAGCCTCCTGCCCCTGGATGTGCCTGAGCTGATGCTTGGCATTAGGAGTCAGTGTAGCCTTCAGGTGAGGCACCTGACTCTGGAGCTAGACCGTCCAAGCTTAAATCCTTGCACTACCGCTTGGTGGCTGTGTGACCTTGGCCTAATTACCTAACTTCTCTGTGCCTCAGAGTCCACATCTATCAAATGGGAATAATCTCATAGCATTGTTGGGAGGATTAAATGAGTTAATACATATGAAGTACTTAGAACAGAGTCCAACACATAATGAGGGCTAAGTACTAACGGTCGTTATTAATGAGAGAGGTTCTCTCCACGACGGCTCCACCCACAGCGGACAGTCTAGAAGTGACCGTCCGCCGCCTCCCCCACTGCCATCACCCCCCTCCAGAAGCTCCCCTCCAGGCATTGTGTAGGCAGAATTCAGGGGGTTCTGTGAACTTGAATAAGAAAAACTTGTCTTTCTTTTTTATTAACTCTCTTTGAAGTTTAATGTTGCCTTTCTTTCTTTCTTATTTTTTTCTAAAGATTTTATTTATTTATTTGAGAGAGACAATGAGATAAAGAGAGCATGAGAGTGGGGAGGGTCAGAGGGAGAAGCAGACTCCCCGCCGAGCAGGGAGCCCGATGCGGGACTCGATCCCGGGACTTCAGGATCATGACCTGAGCCGAAGGCAGTCGCTTAACCAACTGAGCCACCCAGGCGCCCTAATGTTGCCTTTCATCAGGCATGGAGACAACATGCCACAGTATGGTTTTAGCGCTGACTGTGACTTGTCCCAGGAGAAACCACACGTCACATTACAAATGTTGCAAATAGTGCCTACACTCATTACTACTTTGAAACTATAATAGTTGTTAGATCGGCAACTAGATGTTGCTAGTTAATTAATAAAGAAACATACGTGGTACTTTATCACAATTTCTTTATATTTCAATAACTGAATTTTAATATAATCGATTCCTTTGTAATGAGATAGTTTTATTTTGTGTGTTTTACAACATTATTCTGAGGAGGGACCCATAGGTTTCATGGGACTACCCAACGATCCACGGCACGAAAAGGCAGAGGCCCTGCCCGGGCCTGCCCCCCGGGGGGCCGGTGCAGAGAGCCGAGGTGCTCATGTCACAAGCCCATCACTGTGCTCCAGCCTCCCTCTCTCCCCACCCTGCTTAGTGGTCGAGGGCTGCCTCTACCAGTCTGAAGACCCCTCGCTGGTCCTCAGGTCCCTTCCTTCTAGCGCTGCCACCTGGTTTCTTCTAGACTCAGGAGATTTCCCTCCAGGCCTTAGGTCTGTAAGCACAACTACATTTCTAAGGTAGCTTCAAGGTCAGGGCAGCATGGAAAATGTGAGGATCCGTGGCTGATTCTGTGAGAGCAATGGGCTGTCGTGTCGTTAACCCCTAATATCCAAGGTAACCCCAAGACGAGGTAGGGTGAAATATCAGATGGGAGGAGCAGAAAGCAATGAGAAAGGCAGGCTGCATGGGAGGGGATGGTGAGGAGGCATGAGAGAGCCTGCCCCTCCATCACCTGGAAGGGCACCTGGACCCCAGAGGACCCCCTGGACCAGAAGGCAGAAACACACCCAGCCACAGAATGTGCTCTCTCTGTCCTTAGGAAGCTCAATCCTCCTTCACCCCCTTTCTTTTTTCTCCTCCTTCCCCTGTCTCCCCTGTTCCATTTCAGGGAATTCACTAAGGAGCGGGAGAAGGCCAAGTCCAGGGGAACCTTCCAAAAGCTCCGGGAGAAGCAGCAGCTGGAGGAGGACCTCCGGGGCTACATGAGCTGGATCACGCAGGGCGAGGTCATGGACGTTGAGGACTTGAGAGAAGGTTCGGGCCCAAAGGCATGGTCAGCATGCCCTCCCCACCCCCTCGCAGTCAGGGCCCACAGGGAGCACTGCGTCAGGTAACCTCCTGTAAGCCTGGGAGGCCCACGGAGCAGGTATAACGTTGCCATCTTGCGGGTAAGAAAACTCAGGCCCTTAGAGGGTGAGTGACTTGCCTAAAGTCTGACACCTGGAAATGATAGCATCCAGGGGTGCCCGGGTTTCTTCCTGGAGTACAAAGAACCATGCCTCCTGTCCATAACCAACCCCCTGCAGGTGTGGGCTCTTTCTAGGGCCGGGAGTGCACAGGGATTCAGGCCCACCTAGGGCCCGTTGTCACAGGTGTCTCCAGTCAATGGTCCCTTTCCCAGTGTGCCCAGGCTAGGTGTGTCCAGCCCAGAGGGGCCCAGAAGACTGGTCCACTCTTTCTCTCTTGTTCCCAGGGAAGCTGTCTTTGGATGAAGGAGGCTCCGACACAGAGAGCCTGTATGAAATCGAGGGCTTGAACAAAATCATCCAGTTCGTGTGAGTATCCACCCTTCTCCTCAGAGTCTTCCCAGCCTCAGATCTCCTGGAGATGTGGAGTTAGAACCCATTTACTATTCCCCATTTACTGGGCTTTAGAGTCACATTCCTGTCCCTTAGTGCAACCAGAGGGCACTCAGCAGATGACCTAATTATATACTACCTCAGGAAGAAAGTGGGAGCCTGCCAGAGGGCAAGGAGAGAATTTGGCCACTACCCTCTGATCAGAGTGGCGTTGGCAGGGTAATTAGTCCTGGAAAGCTCTGCTTGGGAAGAGGGAAGGTGTGTGCTGTAAAGAGGTAGCACCGGGAGCTTTGCAGGAAGGAGGCTGCCCTCCCCCTCCCCTCCCCGCCAGGAGTCTGGCTCCAGGCTCAAGCGCCTTTGTCTCAAGAGGAAGATGTGTTTGTCTGGTTGGCTGCTTCCTCTCACAAATTCATACATACTTGTGATTTTGAAAGATCAAACAATAGAGAAATACATCAAAGAAAAGATGAAGGTCCCCACTGCCCTTCAAAGGGGTAACCATGGTAACAGATGTGTATCCCTCCAAGACCTTTGCTATGCTTTTATCTCTCTTACACACACACACACACACACACACACACACACACCAGGTTTTTTGTTTTGCTTGGTTTTTTACGTGATAGGGTTCTTTTTTTTTTTTTTTAAAGATTTTATTTATTTATTTGACAGAGACAGAGATAGCGGGAGCAGGAACATAAGCAGCAGGAGTGGGAGAGGGAGAAGCAGGCTTCCCCTCGAGGAGGGAGCCCGATGTGGGACTCGATCCCAGGACCCTGGGATCATGACCTGAGCCGAAGGCAGACGCTTAATGACTGAGCCACCCAGGCGCCCTACATGCTAGGGTTCTTTATGTTAACTACGGTCACTACAAAGCCTAGAACAGTGCCCAGCATTCGGGAGGTACTGCCAAGTATTTGATGAATAAATGAATATGATATACATAGTAGCTAGTAACTTATTTTTAACTTAAAATTATCTATTTGGGGCAATTTTATACATACACACACGTCTTTTTTTTTAAGCCTTTTTTTTTAGAGCAGTTTTAGGTTCACGGCAAAATTGAACAAAAGGTACAGAGATTTCTCATGTCCCCCAGCCACCACACATGCACAGCCCATTAACCAACACCCCCCACCAGAAAGCCGTGGTTTACCTTGGGGCTCTCTCCTGGTGTCGTACGCTCTCTATATACATATGACAAATGTATAATGACATGAATTCATCATTCTAACATCATTCAGAGTATTTTCACTGCCCTAAAAATCCTCTGTGCTCCACCTGCTCATCCCTCCTCCCCCCACCCAGCAACTAACAACTGATCTTGTTCTCGTTTCCATAGTTTCCGCCTTTTCCAGAATGTCATATATTTGGAATCATACAGTATGTAGCCTTTTCAGACTGGCTTCTTTCACTCAGTGACTGACCTTTAAGTCTCCCCCATGACTTTTCCATGGCTGGATGGCTCACACACCTTTGTTTGGTGTATCCTCGGATGTGAAGTATTCCACACTATGAATGTGCCATAAAATATTAATCGTTGCAGGTTTTGGCAACACCAACAACACCACAGGAACAGTCGTGCATAAGTATGAACACTTCCACCAGGCAGATTCCTAGAAATGGAATTGCTGGGTCAAAGCATGTATAATTTTAAACCTTGGTCAACGCTGCCAAATTGTTCTCCAAAAAGGCTGCAATGACTATGACAGTGCCCTTTCCACACACCCTCACCAACACCAGATATGATTAATCCATTACAGAATTGCTTTTATCATGAGCAACACGCCCCCCCGCCCCCCCCGCCCCCGTGGGCTTTAATTAAAATGGAAGTGTGTGGGGCCCCTGCTGTTTGGCAGGCACTGTGCTAAGCATGGTGCTTGCCTTATCTCTAACTCCCCCCCCGAGGCTGGCATCGCTATCGTTCTCCTTTGCAAGAGGAAGAACTTCACCAGTAAGAGGCAAGACTTTAAATCGGTCTGGCCCTGCGGCTCCTGCCCGCAGCGTCTCCCGTGTGGGACCACCGGACCAAGTCTGGCTGGAGTCCGTCTGGAGGCGCTCCCAGAAAGGTGGGCGTGCGGAGTGAGGCCGCTCTTTGCCTCCAGCCTCCTGTGTCTCCTCTCCCAGTCGCCACTGGAGGCAGTGGAACCGCATCTTTCGCTGGAAGTGCCATGACGTGATCAAGTCCAAGGTCTTCTATTGGCTGGTGATCCTGGTCGTTGCCCTCAACACCCTGTCAATCGCCTCCGAGCACCACAACCAGCCTCTGTGGCTGACCCACTTGCAAGGTGAGACACAACAGAGTGAAGCCGGGAAGAGGACAGATGAGGCCAATGGCCAAAGCCAGCCAGTAGCAGCTCAGGTTTGGCAGAAGACGTCAGGCAGATATTGACATTGTTTTCTAGAAATTACAGGCTGGTAGTACTTCTTTCCTCGTGGCATTACCAGGGGATAGAGCAACTCTTTGGGAAGCCCAGGCGTCTGGGTAGAGGATCACAATTTCGGATACCGAACATAAGGATTACGAGCAATCTAGATCTCCAAGCATCCAAGTTCAAATTCTACTCCCAAAACAGCAATCTTTCACCAACTATTTATTGCATGCATACTATATGTAAGGCATAGAAAAAGAACTCAGACGCGGAGAGAATTAATATACTGCTTTTGCCTTCCAGGAGCGTTCTTAGCCAGAGGAGAAGATGCTCACGAATAATGTCAAATCCATATAGGGACGGCACCAATAGAGGCAAATATGAGGTAGCAAGAGAAGGATTACAGGGGAGGAATGTTGGAGCTCCATGGATCTTAAAGAATAAGTAGATGAGCCCCCCAGCAGTCAAAGGGAGGGGAGGATTCCCACAGAAGGAACAGCATGTGCAAAGATGTGCAGATATAGAACAGTATGGAGAATTCAGGGAGCTGTAAGAACTTCATATGTGACTGAGAGCAGCAGGAGGGGTGTTTGCTCATAGAGGCCCTTAAATACTTGAGTAAAATGTGGGGACTTTAAGCCTCAGGCGATGGGAAGCTAATGAAAAGTTGTCAGCAGGAATAGAACACGATCAGACTGGAGTTTCTGAAAGATCAGCTTTGGTGGAAGTCAAGTCAGCCTCATCCCCGTGATAGATGTGCCTCTGCATGTGGAGCTCTGGACTGCGAAAAGGCAGAGACTAAGAGAACCGGGAGACCAGTCCCAACATGGTGGACCAACTAAGCGCGCTCCCCACTGTAGACACATAGCAATGCTGCCTAAGTCATAATAACAATATTTCAAAGAAAGGCAAGGAAGTCTCTGGATGGCAGAAATGAAGAAACCACTGAAAGCCAGAGCAGTGAGCTCATGAGTTGATTTCCAGGAACATTCTAGACCTAGAGCTAAACTCTAAAGGGTGGCGGTTGGGTTCTTAATGCGCATGCAGGGACAGGAGACTGGTCCCACAGCCTGGGTGAGGTGAGGAACAGAACTGACCCCCTGCATAGAGCCAGAGCCTAGGGCTGCCCTTATGTGAGGGAAGCAAAAATTTCACCACATTGGGCCAGGGAAAGAAGGTGGAAGTTTATCCGTGCTGGAGGCTCTGGGAATAAGGAAACATGTCTCAGGTGAAAAATTGAAACCCAATCTATGCCCTGTATAAGTATGGGGTCCAATTTGCACTGTTCCATATGGTATAGGGACCCTAAGCTAAGATAGTAACATAAAAAACTAGTCACAGGCAAGTGAAACCCCTGTGGTGCCCAGCAGAAGCAAACACAAGCCACCCCTTAGGGATGCTTCTCAACCCAAGGCATACAGAATTCCTGCAGGGAAAATGTTTCCCAAAGAAGAGCTCACAACAAAACAATCGCAAACCAAATTAGGAAGAGGGCCACCCTGAGGAAGAATTATCAAGCACAACCAACAGGAGTTAGCAACCCCAGGAGCCTAAAGTAGTAGAACAGTACAAAAGACACTATGCTTAAAGTGATGAAAAAGATAAAAGAAGGGATATAACGAGAAAAGAAGACTGTCTTTTCCTATGGGAAGGAGCTAGGGAAAAATGCACTAGATGAGATGCATGCATGCATGCATTCATTGCCACCAATCTTCTCGAGATCCCCTTGACTTTGCCAAGCATTGCCAATGCATTGTCAATGCCCAAATGTGGACAAGATGTGAATACTGTCCACCAAAAGGAGTCAGAGATTTGAGGTTCCTGACCTATGCAGATAAATGGGTGGTAGCGCCACTTACTGAGATGGGGAAGGCAATCAATGGCTGGGTGTGTTTGGGGGTGGGGGAGGATGGGCAGTACTCAGCAACTTAGTCTTGGGCATGTTGAGTTTGAGGTACCTTTGAGATATCCCAGTGGAAATGTCAAGAAGGCAGATGGAAAAACAGGTCTGGAACTCAATGGAGAGGTCTGAGTTGAAGAATTAAAATTCAGGAGTCATTGGCAGGGATGGCCATTGAAGCGACAGTCTTAGAAGATAGCACCAGACCAGCAGAGGATAGCATATGCTAAATGTACAGCTCAAGGTCAGCATCCAAAGATTAGGTAAAGAATTGCATCTGCAGAGGAAGCTTGGGAAAAGCAGGAGAAGCAGAAGAAATCTAGAGGGATATGGGGTCACAGAAGCTAAAGAAAGAGAATATTTGAAAAAGCAAAGCTGGTCAACTGTGCCCAGGGCTTCTGGGAGGTCAGGAAAAAATGAGGGTTAAAATGCCCATTGGATTTAGTGACCTGGAAGTCATTGGTAAGCCTGAGAGAGTTTGTTGGTGGTGTGATCAGGTGGACCCAGTTAGGTATGAGTTAGAGAGCAAATAGGGCAGGGCAGGGTGGGCAGAAGTGAAGGGATCCAAGTAGATAACTCTGGAAGTTTGGCTGTGATAGGGAGGAGAGAGCTAGGGCAGCAGCTACGGGGAAAATGGGGACTTGGGCATTTAAAAATGGTGATGGGAGAATCCAGTTGAAAGAAGTTAAACACACAAGAAAGAAAAGGGATCATTGACAGTGGATTTTGTGAGGTGGGGGTTGGGGGGTGGGCAAAGCATAGGTGGACAGGTTGGCTTTGGATAGGTGGAGGACCCCCTCCTCCAGCAGGAGAGAAGGACGTGTACAGTAATGAGAGAGTGGCAGAGCTTAATTAACAAGTGAAATTAAAAGTAATAAGACTCACTTGAGTTAAACGTGGTATGGTTTAGCGTTTGAGAAATTTACATCAGCCTTCCTTCAATGGGCAAACATTCGCCAGGTTTTACGGATTTTGAGAGTGGAAAAGGGATGATGTTTTGGAAACATGGTGAGGGTGCTTGGGGCGGAGGGCTCGGCCAAGGCAGAGGCCTGGAGGCAGGGCGGGGAGGGAGGGAGAGAGCAGCGCTGAGGCTGGGTCGCCCACCCTGCAGACGTGGCCAACCGGGTGCTGCTGGCCCTCTTCACCATCGAGATGCTGATGAAGATATACGGGCTGGGACTGCGTCAGTACTTCATGTCCATCTTCAACCGCTTCGACTGCTTCGTGGTGTGCAGCGGCATCCTGGAGATCCTGCTCGTGGAATGGGGCGCCATGAGCCCCCTGGGCATCTCCGTGCTGCGCTGCATCCGCCTCCTTAGGATCTTCAAGATCACCAAGTGAGCTCCGGGCGGCGGGCAGGCGCAGCTCCCGGGGGGACCCAAGAGGACAGCGTGCCTGGTCTGGTCCGCACGGGCTCATTCCCTGTGGTCTGGGGTCTGGGCAAGTTCACATGTGGCCTCTTGCCCAGGACTTCCCTCCCTCCTTGAAAGAAATGACTTTCCCCTGTTGACCTCATTCCTTTATTTTTTCCTCCTTACCTCTTACCATCTTGTGGCAGGGCAGGGATGCTGGGGGGCGTGGAGAGGAGAGAGGAAAGAGGATAAGAAGAGCGTGGGAGAGGGAGGAAGGAGAGGAAGATGAGAGGAAAGGAGAAGTGGGGAAAGGCGATGGAAATGAGGAGGCGGAATGAATAAGGAGGGAGGGAGCGTGGTGAGGGAGCAGAGACGTACTCATCGGTTTCCCAGGGTTTATTGGGCACCCTCCTGAGCTGGGGACTGTGCTAGGCACAGGGGGTGCAGGGGTGCATGGGAGAGACGTGGTCCTTACTCTCATGGGGTCTGCAGTCTGGTGGTGTGACGCCCCTTCTCCCTCTGCGTCCCCTCAGGCCTGAGCCTTTGCCCTAGCCTGGCCAGACCTCAGGCAGTCCGCGGAGGGGGCGCTGGAGGGGGGCGCTGCTCCTCTCTACCTGTGACCCTCTGCCTTCAGGTACTGGACATCTCTGAGCAACCTGGTGGCGTCCCTGCTCAACTCCATCCGCTCTATCGCCTCCTTACTGCTGCTGCTCTTCCTCTTCATCATCATCTTCGCCCTGCTGGGCATGCAGCTCTTCGGGGGCAGGTATGACTTTGAGGACATGGAGGTGCGGCGCAGCAACTTTGACAACTTCCCGCAGGCCCTCATCAGTGTCTTCCAGGTAGGCGGTGCTGCAGGTGCTGAATCGCACTTCTGTCCTTCAGGAGTAGGGTGGGCATCACCTCCTCCAGGAAGCCTTCTCGGATCTGCTGGTTTGAGTTCAAGGTCCCTATCCAGGCTCCGTCTTCCCCTGTGCTCCTCTCCATTGCAATAGTTGCTATTTGTCTCCTCCACCCTCCGGAGCCTAGGAGCTGCGCCCAATTTGACCTATTTGTCTCTGTCCCTGGTACCTAGCAGAGTTCTGGCCCATAGCAGGGTCCCTGATGCTGACTGAATGGCGTCCAGGGGCCTGTTTCTCTCCCATGCACTACTCCTCTCTCTGAGCGTAGAGTCAGACAGTGAGCTCTCCCCCAACAAGACTGAAAAAGCCCCAGAGAAATACCAACCGTTTCTCACTGTGAAGACATGGCTCAGCTAATGTTCTCTAGAAGCTACCAAAGGAGCGTGGCTGTGACTTACCTGAGGCCTCCAGAGCCACGGGCCTCCTGGAGGAGCTTCCTCAGTGTCAGGCAGAGAAATGCTCCCCTGTGTTGGAGCCGGCCCTCACGAGGAACATCACCTTGTTGACACCAGTGAGAAGGGCAATGTGTGGCCATCAGCTGGTCTTGTAGATGACCTCACCCTCTCTTCCATTCACCCCATGGCTGGTCGGCCATCACGTCTGACAAGGCACTTGACATTTCACACTAGTTCTGGAGGCTGGGAGGCCAGGAGGCCTGGGTGGGCTCAGTACAGTTAAGCCTGGGCATTAGGAACAGAGACAGGGAGGTGGTGACCCCACAGTCAAAGTCCTTGGCCCTGGAGCGGCAGCAGTAATATTTCTGACCATTGGAAGAGGTTCCAGGAGGAGAGCCGGGACCTTTCATCCTGGCCGTGGATGAAGAGAGGAAAGGTCTAGGGGCCTTTTGGGCCATGTGGTCCCGAGAGAAGACCCTCGAGTCCCTCTGTGCCACCCCCCACTGTGTTCCCTCTCCCCCTAGGTCCTGACAGGTGAAGACTGGAACTCCATGATGTATAATGGGATCATGGCCTACGGCGGACCGTCCTACCCGGGGGTGCTAGTGTGTGTTTATTTCATCATCCTTTTCGTCTGTGGCAATTGTATCCCCTTGGGAGGAAGAGGGCACAGAAAAGAGCTGAGGGAGGGGGTGGGAGAGACGGTCTGAAAACAGGGGGTCAAGGGCACGCACATGCCAGGCAGCAGGCCCTCTGGCTGGAGGGGCGCCCCCAGACTCATGGTGCGGGGCAGGGGGCTAGGACATAGCATATAGCAAGTGCAGGATAATTCCTTCCACTGGGAAAGTTCAAGGACTACAGAGGTGACTGGTTATAGGCGGGAGGATTTCATCCCAGAGAGGCTGGTGAGCCTGGAGCAGGCAGGAGGAAGGACAAGTTTTGGCTGTGGGGCCATGAAGATGGTGGGCAGCCTGGTCCAAAGGTTTGGGAGGCAGGGAGGGAGGAATGAACAAAGAGGAGCCCGAGAATGAGGCAAGCAGATGGGAGGTGAGGTGGATGGGGCAGGAAGAGCCAGCAGTTCCCCGGGGGTTCTGACGTCTGCACATGGAATTTGGTATTATGAGTAGAGGGGGTGGGGAGGGAACCAGTGTTCCTTGAGCTCATATGTGCCGAGCATGACGCTCACGGACAATGCCTCACTGGCTCCCCACACAGCCCCGTGTGGGAGCGGGGATCAGTCCTGGATGGGAAATGGGGGGCCCTCAAGGCTCATCATGGGCACCCCTGTGCAGCCAGGCTTCCCTGAGGATGCTCGCCCATGTCCTCGTGCCCATGCCATCCCATGTGGTAATTCTGGCAAGAGGTTCTCTGACAAGCCCACCAAGGGAGTGGGGTTAAGTCCTGCCAACCCCTGGGCAGGGTGGGATCCTGGCCCCAGAGGTTTCCCTTTCATCCACAACCCAAGACTCCTTAGCAGGATGCCCTCAGATATCCTGCTCAATGTCTTCCTGGCCATCGCTGTGGACAACCTGGCTGAGGCCGAGAGCCTGACTTCTGCCCAGAAGGCCAAGGCTGAGGAGAGAAAGCGCAGGAAGATGTCCAAGTGAGTGCTACATCCCCAGCAGGGAGGGACATGGCGTGCTTGGTGGTGGTCTCCCAGCTCTGCGCAGGCAGCTCCTTGGAGCCTGATGAGCAGGGGTTCTGCCACCATGACCCCTGCCCCAGGGGGCAGCCTTCTGCAACCAGCACGTCTAGGGATGGCTGATGTCCTATGAGGTGTCCCTGGGCGCAGAACTGGAGGTGGCCTCAGGAAATGTGATGGCAGAGCCAGGCGGGTTGGACCAGGGGACCCTGGTGGGGAGTTCTAGGAATTCAGCCGGCCCTGCCACTGAGTCACCGTGCTTCTTGCTTTCCCTCTGCTGAGCCGGGGGCATGTCAAATGTGAAGTGGTGGTTGGCTTCTCTGGTCTGTTACAATTCTCTCCCTCTGCGAGTTTGTTGTGTAACTCTCCGGAGCCTGAGACTCTTCTCTAGGAGGAGACAGGTCTCCCAGACAGTGTTTCTCAAACTCTAATTGCAAATGAATCACCTGGGGATCTTGTTAAAATACTGACTCTGATTCAGGAAGTCTGGGGTGGGGTTGATGGTCTGCATTTCTAACAAGCTCCCAGGTGGCATGGATGCTGCGGGCTGGAGAACCATACTGAGTGGCTCTAGACAAAGGCCTGCTTCCTCCAGTGTCCATGCCTGCAGGAATGGTATGCCCATTCCTGGGAGGCAGGCTGGGAAGAGAAAGAAAGACCAGCAATGGTTGAGCCCCACCTTGCACCAAACCATGCTCCCACACTGAATTCTTTATGAAAAAGGTGCAAAGCCACTTTCCACCCATTTACCCATCAATGAACACTGAGTGTGGCTGACCAGTGAGCCATATTTAGCCACAGGCCCAAGCTGGGCATCATGCCCTCTCATCACAGACTTGCCCAGGCCTGTAACCTTTCCCTTTTGGCAGCCTACACTGTTCCATCCTCCACAGAGCCCCCTGAGCCCTTGGTGCAGGATCCCCCTGAGGGTGCCATCAGACTAAGCAAATCCCCGAGAACTGTCTGGTTGGGCTTCCACTGTGGGCTTCCTCGGTTTTTTAACTCAGGGGTCTCCCAGACAAGTCAGAGGAGGAGAAATCAGTGATGGCCAAGAAGCTGGAACAGAAACCCAAGGGTGAGGGCATCCCTACCACCGCCAAGGTGAGCATATCATGTGGGGTATTTTCAGAGGCAGGATGGGGAGGAACTCTGCAAGTCCTCTGGGTCACCCCCATGACTTAGGGTGCTGGTGGGTGGGTAGGGAGGTGGAGAGGGACTATCTGCTTGGTTATCAGCCAGGTGAGGGCATCTGTCTCCACTCTACTGGAGAGAAAGTCAATGGCTACACTCCCACAAGGAATCCTTTGTACTGAGAGGCACAGATGCCCCAGTCTGGGAACCAGAATTCCTCAGAGTCCCAGCTTCCTACCCCAGTCAGGGTGTCTCCTGCCCCACTTGACACCCCCTGTTCCATTGTGAGACCCAGACAGGATGCCCACCACTTCCTGCTTGCTCCAGCCTCGCTCTGCTCAACCCTTCTGGAAGCTGAGGAAGCAGAGGTCAGAGGGTTGGGGAGATGGGCCCCAGAGAACTAAACTGGGAGTGCCATGCACAGGCTCAGACAGGCTGAGGTCTTGGCAACTCATCTGACCATTCTGGGCCTGGCTTCTCATTTGTAAAGAGGGAATGATCCTAATATTCCCTACTCCCCAGGCTGTAGGGAGGATTGAGCTACCGCCCACACTGACCCTCCAGTAAATGCTCAGTAAGCGGAAACTGCAGGTTTGCTTTCGTCATCTTCATTGTATTCCTTCCGACAGCTGAAAATCGATGAATTTGAATCTAATGTCAATGAAGTGAAGGATCCCTACCCTTCAGCTGACTTCCCAGGTGAGGATCCTGGGACTGTCGGGGGTGTATCCTGGGGCTGATTTCTCTCCAGGGGCAATCTCTTGCGTGTCCCCTACCTGGACACTTCCATGAGGGGATCACGACACAGAGACATCCCTTCTGACCTAGTCACACATGTAAGCCATCTGCCAGCCTGCCTCTCCCTACAATACACACGATCGAAAACCCCACACATTCTATTTTCATTTAATTCAGCTAGTATTTGTTGAGTGCGCATTATGTACTTCAGTGCTGAGGACTCCGTTTTCAAGTTTTCCATTCTGGCCACACAGAGCAGACCACAGACGAGGACATGTCTGTCTATATGGGGTAGGAGATGGACAGGTTCCTCGCCCCCAAAGTGTCCGGCAGTGCTGGGGGCTAGACTGACACATGAATAAATAGAATCTTGACTTGCACTGTGGGAAAATCAAAATGAAGGAGACAAGGGTAGGGTGGGCAGGAGGGTAATACACAGCCACAGATGAACTATGAACGTCTCCCAAATGCAAATAACCGTGGCTGCCGCAGAAAACCATTCATCTGTGCCAAGGAGAGAACACCTTGGGAAGAGCAGAACCAGGCTGGGCTCATGTGAAAGAGCCACGTGGAAGAGGCCTGAAAGCCCCAGAGCTCTGAGGTTCTCTCTTAGCTCACTCACGGGTCCTCGGAGCACAGGGTCACTGGTGCAATTTCACGGCTATTTGTGGAATTGGCTGATTAGCATCTGTTTGCCCCAGTGACTCTTAAGCTCCAGGGGGACTTTTTGTGCTCCAAATGGCACCCACGTAGGCACTCAATAAATAGAATGAATGAACACATGAAAGGATTTTGCAAAGTGAATGTGTGGGGAGCATGGAGTTGATAGAGACAGGACTAATAATATTTCTTCAAATGTCTGCTAGCAATGAATATTTGGGTTTTAAAAGAATTCATCTCAAGCTGTTTCATCTAAGGACCATGACCTAGCAGATGAGCGTGGCTGGTATGCCGGGGAAAATGGCTGACCCAGGAAATGGGAGGTTAAGGAAAGGGAAAGGGGTTAGAAAGAAGGGGGAGGGTAGAGGGTCGAGGGGATGTGGGGTGGGCAGTTGGAAGAGAGTTCTCACCAAGGAGGTTGAATATGTTTATCCTGCTTCTTTCCAAAGACCATCTGAAATGGCTTAAGCTTAGGACAAAATATATGTACAATGAAATTAACAAAATGGGCATAGACAAGGGAAAAAAGAAAGCAAATATACTAACTCCAAGAATTAACAGTTTCTTCCACTAAACATAAGATGTGTTTCAGGGTCCTTGGCAGCCAGGGCAAGATGGGAAGTGTCACATTAGGACACTGGTTGTGAGGAAGGAGAAAGGGTGGTGAAGCTGAGAGCCTGTGCGGAGAGCAGAATCGAGTGGAGAGAGCAGAATATAGTGGCTCTTTCTGGGCTTCCCCAAGGGGCTCTGTCAGGGGGCCAGTAGAGGTAGGGATGAGGTGACTATGGGGTGAGGGCAACAAGAGACTGGGCAAGACCTGCACAATGAGGGGCACCCCGACTTTTGACAGTGCCCTCCAGTTTGATCACTGAATCCTCGCCTCCCCCTTCTCCCTGAGGAGCTCGGGTAGTCAGCTGTCTCATAAGGCCATAAGACCTACCAATAAACCTAGAGGGTCCATCTCTTCCTCCTCTACCCCTCCCACCCTGGTATCTGCCTCCGTACTGGCGCCTGGCTGAAGCTCAAGGAATATTGATTCTTTTTTTTTTTTCATGCTGGCAGTTCCTCTCTGAAATGATTATTTTTAGAATCCTAGCCCAGGAGAGGAACTCAGAGTCTATTTATTTCAACAAGCCTCCTGCCCCTAATCAATTTCACAAACTGAGAAGCTGAAGCCCAAGAAGGACAGTGACTTGCCTAGTTGGCTCAGCAAGTTAGGGGCAGAGCCTGGACCACACCTCAGGTCTCAACTGAAGCAGGGTCCCCTCTCTACTTCCCAGCTGCGAGCATTTGAGATGGTGTGAGCCCAGCCCTGAGGCAGAAGATGAAACAGCAAGGCTCCTTGACTTTGCTCCTGGCCCCACTTCAGGAGGGTTCTGGGACCGACAGTTTTCCCTGACAGTTCACACCTACTCCCTGAGGGGAAAGGGAGATGCCTGGGATGGACTCTGCTGACATCCTCGTGGCCAGCATTGACCTGCTACCACCCTCACTTTCTGGTTGCTGGGGGTTCATGGCTGCATTCAGAGCACAGAAGCCTGGGGAGCAGTAAAGTATGTAAAGATGCCCCCGATTTCTCTTTCTCCCCTCCCCACAGGCGATGATGAAGAAGATGAGCCTGAGATTCCCGTGAGCCCCCGACCACGCCCCCTGGCTGAGCTGCAGCTGAAAGAGAAGGCAGTACCCATTCCAGAAGCCAGCTCCTTCTTCATCTTCAGCCCCACCAACAAGTGGGTGGCCCCATGGCTGCTGTGTCGGGTGACTGATGGGGCTCTCAAAAAGGGCTGGTTTCTGCTCTGAAAAGACCCCTTTCTCCTGATTCTCTGGGCTTACAATTACACCGTGAGAAACTGACTCCCTTAACTAAGATCTTGCGCCCTGTTTAAAATGCTAGTATCTCTGGGAGAAGTAGTGCTTGAAACCTTAGCAGTTACTTACACCTACCCGGTGTATATTTTGTATATTTTGGTTCCTTTCTGAGGGCAAATTTAGACAGGACAAGGGAATGAGAACCAGGTGAAGCTGTAGTTCTTACTGGCTTCACAGTTTTACACCTTTAAAATATGCATAGACTATAGTCATCACAGAGTTTCATCTGTCTGCTTCATGGATGGAGATCAGCCTGCCCCATTCGTTTGGCTGAAAACCACAGGATGGCGGAGGAGTACTGGGGTGGGTGGGGGGAGGGGTTTGGTTGGGAGAGGGGACTGAGGCTGCAGGAACCGAATGAGGGGCGGGGGTCCCGCGTGTCCAGCCAGAGGACTGTTCAGATGTAGGCCATCCTTCTCCACTGACCCGGGAGGGAGGGTTCCAGTGTCTCTCTGCCAGACAGAGGCTGGAGAGGCCTGAGTGCCCGAGAGCTCACAGCTCTCCTGATCCCCTCGCCGTTTCCCCAACAGGATCCGTGTCTTGTGTCATCGTATTGTCAATGCTACCTGGTTCACCAACTTCATCTTGCTCTTCATCCTGCTCAGCAGTGCTGCACTGGCCGCTGAGGACCCCATCCGGGCCGAGTCTGTGAGGAATCAGGTGATGGTGGACCCCTGCTTTCTGCCAGCACGGCACCCCTCCCCACCCCAGGCCTCAGCCACCCGCACACTTCACTCTGGTGCTCAGAGTTCAATGTATGTTCTACGTGGCCGTAGGCCATCAGAGTCTCTTAGAGTTTAAGTCCCTGGAGGGCCAGGACTGCCCAAACCACTCCTTCTGAACAGTGTTGTCACAGCATGCAGCACAGACAGGCTCTTGATGCCGAGTTTTAATGATGATGGTGATGGTGGTGATGGTGGTAGTCGTGGTGGTAGTGGTGATGGTGATGATGATGGTGATGGTGACGGTGATGATGATGATGATGGTGACAGCGATGATGATGGTGGTGATGGTGGTGGTGGTGGCGGTGATGGTGATAGTGACGATGATGATGGTGGTGATGATGGTGATGGTGATGGTGACAGTGATGATGATGGTGACAGCGATGATGATGGTGGTGATGGTGGTGGTGGTG